GTGTGTGTGTGTGTGTGAGTGTGTGTGTATGTAGAGGAAGGTAGTGTGTGTGTGTGTGTGTGTGTGTGTGTATGTGTATAGAGGAAGGTACTATGTGTATGCATGTGAATGTATGTGTATAGAAGGGGCACTGTGTGTGTGCATGTGTGCACATATGTAGAGGAAGATACTGTGTGTGTGAAAAGGAAAGTAGTGTGTGTGGGGGGGTGAGGGGTGCAAGGTGTTACTAGGTAGATAACAGAGTCAAAGATCAGAGGACCAAATTTTCCAAGATCTGTCTTTAAGAGCGAAGGAATCTAAGGTGGACAGGGCAGTGGGTGAAGGACGAGGCTGATGGGACATTGTCACTGGACCCAAAGTTCTGAAGTAGATAAGATCCAGGAGAGATGGAGTGAGAAAACTGGAGCGTGCCCAGGAACTGTGATGTCAGAGGTGCAAGTCACTTTGGCTGGGGCTGATTTAATCCTCTAGTTCAGGGATGAATTCAACTGGAGAGGTTTAGACTTCAACAGCCCATCTACTCCATGGCTTTATGTACTGAGTTGGTGAAATTAGTGGGATAAAATGTCATGGTTGTATACCCCAAGAAACATACACACACACCAAGAAACATAAGTGATAACTAAGGAAAATTGCAAGTTTTCCTTACTTCAGTCATCTTCGGGCTGGGAAACGTAAGGTCAGGTCATGTGGTTTTGGAATAAGTGTGTTATGAACCTTCATCTTCCTTACAGGTGTAATCTGTTCTGTCTTCTGCCTAAGCCTTACTCCCCTTACCTGTTTAGCAGGGCTAGGTAATTGCATCTCTCTGAGCTTAGGCAAGATTAAAGAGACACCACATGGAGTGATACCTAGCATTTAATAAATATCTCTTCTTCCCCATGCTAACTTTTTACAAAGAGCTGGTAATATTCATCTACCATGAAAAGCTATGGTCAGCTTCCTCTATTAAAGTAGTCATCCAGGAACAGTCACAGGAGGGCTGGCAAAAGCCCTGCATACCCAGAACAGGGTTCAGTATGAAGGGATTTGAAATCAGAACAGCCATAGCTCTGGGCCTGGAGCAGCTTAGAGGTTCTGGAGCAGAGGCCCTTCTTACTTCTCCACCCTCCACCAACACTTAGAGCATTTCTCTAAGCACACTTACTTCCCAAAGGGCCTCTCCAGGGCAAAAGGCCGGGCTGCATAGTAGTACTGCTTGTATTCATCCATCCACACTTCAGCTGTCCGCTTGGTGTTCCTGGAGAGATAGGAAGTCTCAAGAGGGGGCTTGTCTGGGAATCATTAGCAGGCATTCCCAGTTGAAAATACACACACAGAGGCAAACTTGGCAACAGCATCCAGGCAGCAGCCACCAGGACAGAAATGTTCACATTACTCTTTCCAGAACACCAGAGCATGAGGAACTCTCTTCTGTCTCCAAAGGCACCCCAAGAGATAGAACTTTAGTGGTATTAACAACCTTTCCACAAAAGGTACCGATAGGAAAAATCACATCACAAGTTGAACTTTGGTGACTCAAGGAAGCAGAAAAAAGAGCCAGGAGAAAACAGGTGCATCCATTTGCTGCCTGGCACTCTGAGTACATAGGTGGGGCTTGTGAGGACCAGCTAACCTCTAGTCTGCTTGATTGGTGGGCTTTCCTCTACTTTCCCATAGTGGACACGCTGAGGTCTCAGCTCCCCAAGAGTAAGGTCAGTGCATACACAGGCCAAGCAATGGTTAGGTGTAACAAACGAGTAATCAAGCCCTATCTTTCAGTACTTCACCAGTATGCTGGGCTTCTCATTGGACATCAGCTTGAGTTTGACCCTAAAGGCAACAGTAGAAGAGAGGTGGGAAGAGGGATGATTGTGATCATTCAACAGTCAGGGGGTCTCAGGAAGATCGCCAGAGTCAAAAGAAGAGAGATTGGAAAACAGTGAGGGCTGGTGACTTGGGAAGCTGGTGACCTGGGTGAAACTGAACTTGAGTTTCTAACTAGTTTGCTCTTGCAGGTTCTTAGGTCTACTTTAGAGCACAGACATTTGATAGAAGAACATGGCAACCCCTTCTGAGCTGGGATCTGAAAGGACCGGTGAACACCGGCAAGTGGGGTTTGAGGGTACTGGCAGCAGTTAAGGTCACCTGGCTAGCTCCTGCAAGTGGCTTCACTATCTGCAAGCTAGAAACCATTTTGCAAACAATGTGCCTTGTTTCTCTAAGTAGAATGGGCTACCATTCGCTTGCAAGGATATTCACTACCCAAAGCCCAATCTCAAAAAGGGCAAACATCTGAAGTTCCAGGATCCCGCTAGAGCCCACTCGGAGGCCTCTGCTCCGGCACAGCCACACCACAGTCCTGTGCCAGACATCCTTGGCTTATCCTTATAGTTAAAAAAATCTGAGGTTCCTTGATGCTCCCTTGCCTGCTGCCTTCCCTGCTCCATCCTTTCCTTATGTGCCCTGCTTTGTAAGATGTAGAATTTGACCACTGTTCAAACCCATGCTTTCTCTGAGTCAGCTGTGTCAGGATATGCTATACACATGAATACATGTGTGATAAATCAAGAAAGAACACCTTAAATAAATATAGATTAAATAAATATCAAAGAATGTGAAGCCCCCCTCCCTAACACAATGGATCAAACAGCAGGACAAAGGGAATTGCGTGGATGAGAGAAGCAGCTGATGCCAAGAGACGAGATGATCAAATCAAAGTAAGAAACAAAAGTTAAGAAAAATGTGAAGACACTCAGGGGCTAGAGAGATGGCTCAGCAGTTCAGTGGGTACCACTCCTGCAGAGGACTCAAATGGGATTGGTTCTTAGTAACCACATTAGGTGGCTCACAGGTAACTTCAGCTCCAGGGGGTTCAATGCACTCTTCTGACCTCTATGGACAACTGCATTCACAAGAATCGCCCCCCACCCACATATACATATAATTTTTTAAAAGCCTAAGGTAAATAGGCATGTATGAATATTTTGACAAGAGAAATCTAAAAGTAGGGAAATGTTGGGAAGAAGATATGTGTAGGAGAGGGAGACAAAGAGCCAGGCAAGGGGTACCCTGGGATCGATTCCTTCTGTATCTATGGCAGAGAGGCCTTAATGAGATAAGAAGCCCTGCAGCTGGATTATCAAGTATACCCCATCTGGATTCTTCTAGTCTATCAGGAGGCCCTGGAGCAGGCATACTGCTGTACCTACCAGCCTGGAACAGGCACAAGGCTGGACTCTCCAGAGTTTCCCATCTCTTGCTTCTCCCCAGGGGTCTTTTGCTGAGTTACCCAGCTGTTTCTAACCACCACTACTATCTCCCTTTGCAAGTACCTAGAGGCAAAGCCCTTCAGGATGGACTTGACCAGTTACTTTAATTACTGAGGCTCTAGGGAATGAGGTAGGTTGATATGGCTCAAGTCTCAGGGATAGCCTAAGGAAGTCCTGGCTTTAATGCCAATTGCCCAGGCAGAGTCCAAGTTGCAGGCACTCAGACTGTCATGCAGAGTAGCAGTCTGTTGCAAACCCATGGCCACCATTTCCTTGCTGCTGCCCACACAGATTGCGCCAGGGCAGGCACTTACTTTATATATGTGTTGGCGTTTCCATCAGGGAAGACATATGGATGCTTTTTCCTGAAGACATGCCCCACCCGGCTGCAGGGGATGATCTCCAGGCCACCTCCACACATCCACACTCGGAAAGAGATTTCTGCAAGACATCCACATTTTTTTTTATTGCTTTCTAATCCTTCTATACTGGCTCTGAGATACTATGTCTAGGGTTCTGTAGGCATCTAGGGATACATTCTCCAATTAGGCTGTGCACTTCTTTGTTTGGGAGCAAATGTAATTTGAGTCCCAACACCATGACGAGTGATGTGAGACTGCTCAATAGACAGCATGGAGGTGTGGGGGGACCCTAGTGGGATGCTTTGGGAGATTATAAAAGGCTTGGATGTGAAACATACATATAGAAAATCAGTTACAGTCACCCTCTATGACCACAAATGGTTAGAACAAAGATGGAGGGCAAGGCTGGCAAAGTGGCTCAGCCAGCAAAGACACTTGCCCCCAAACTTGTAAACCTGAGTTAAGTCTCCTGAACCAATACAATGGAAGGAAAGAATGGACTCCCACAAGTTGTTCTCTAATATCCACAGAAACACTGTGGTACACATAATGCACCCTCCCAGTCAAACAAACAGAAACAGAGGGAGAACAGAGAGACACAAAGATAAACACACACATACACACATACGGGGGGGGGGGGGGGGGGGGGGGGGGGGGGGGGGGGGGGGAGGGGGGGAGGGAGAGGGAGAGGGAGGGAGAGAGAGAGAGAGAGAGAGAGAGAGAGAGAGAACATGAAGTAATTTTGAGAACACAGAATAATCTTCTGAGATAAGGACCAGCCATCTGTCAGGAGTGGACTCAGGGTGAACTAGAAAACACCATATCAAGGATGCAGCCGAAGGCACCTGGACTACCCTAAGCCTGCCATTCTCCCACTGGATAAACATGAGCCAACTGAGTCCTAGGACAGGAAGACAGAGCCTGAGCAGTAATCAGAGTTACTGAGGATGCTCCCCAGGGTGGAGTTCCACACATACGCCTATCTCTTCCTGTTTTGCTACTGTTTGGTAGTGGGTGGGATGGAGTTAGAGAAGGCTGTCCCTAGTAAGTTTTGCTGCTGGAACTACTAAGAGTAGCTCCAGGGCAGGTTTTTACCCCAGGTTAGGGAGCAGGGAGATGATGATACTGGTAGAAGAGGGCAGGGGAGTATTTTATCATTGCTGTTGCTGGAAACTGGCTGTGTGTGGTGATACTGAAAAGTATCTTAAGCCCGTGGTATGGTTGCTTTAAAATTCTCTATATACAATGCACCCCCTTACTGAATCTATCCAGACACCCTATCCCATCCCACGCCCTACTGGGCACATCAGTGGTAGAAAAGCAAGAAAAGATAATTTCTAATTTGTGGGACGTCCTTCCTGGCCCATGCTTTTGCATTGTTTTTTTTCCTTTAGTTTTTCTTTTATTTCCCAACCCCTGCCGCTCTTAAGTGTGAGGACAGGGTCCCTAATAGAAAAAAAAATCCAAGAGTGGCTGCACCTGTGATGTAGTCCTAGACCAGGGACAAAGAATAAGAATGTAGGTACCCCTAGGGCCTTACCATCATAAGCCTAAGTATTTCCAGCAGTGTAGGTCCTATCTTTTTGCCTCCCCTAACTGGCCTTTCTCTACTGCTTCCCTTTTGTCTCCTGTTATATCTTTATCACACAGCTCTCAGAGAGGTGCCTAAGCTGGGATCCTGCCCCACCCCCACCCCACTGCTCTCCCATGTCCTCTGAATGTTTCTTGCTCCCTTCTGCCTCCTCTTAAGACAAGGAAAGACTTGTCTTTGTCTACCAAGTCTGGACAGACCTATTAGATGCATCTTTGGGAAAGCAGGCACCAGCTTTCTGAAGTTTGGTCTTGATCTCCTTGTGAGCTAAACCAAAACCATAGAAATGTGCCACAGAACTGCTGTCAGTATCAAATGAAAGAGTCTTCTGAGAATGGCTGTGAACTCAAGGGCATTGATTATGAGAAACCCTGTGAAGGCAATCTCTTGAGAACTCAGACACCAATGACATCACCCACCTGGGTGTACTTCTTCACAGGCCACTTCTAGCATCTGCCAATACTATAGGAGACACAAGGGCTTATTAACGTAATATCTGAGATTTTGTGTCTCCTCAGATGTTCCACATATAGAGAACTGGCATCTGTGGCTAGGCTACTGTCTGAGCTTGGTGTTTGTGAGTCACTAAGCAAGATGTGGCTCAGCAAACTGCCTGTAATCCACATCTTGATCAGACACAACAATGAGCAATCTCAAGGTCAGATCTGGAGTTATGCCAGTTATATGTGTGAAAGAGATCTCTTTGCTTGTGTGTGTTCCCATCAACTCTTTTCCAGGGACTCCAAGAAGGATCTGCTCCACTTTCTGAAAAGGAAACCTCTATAAAACCCCATTACATGAGATGAAGGCCTGGCTTACTAGATATAAGCTACACACTTTGTGCCAGCGTTTCTCTAAGCAGATGCATGCACTTTAGCTACTGTGTCTTCTTTTCCATGTATTCAAATGAGACATATGTCCTTCCTCATTTGAAAATCAAATTCTTGCAACCTCAATCCCATACTCCCCACTCTATAAGCTACTTCTTTCCATGCAGACCCTTCATCCAGTCTTACTTTTCTGAGTCCAGTGACCTTTGCCCTCCACCAGTCAGGTGGAGTCCCCCACCTTAAACAGTGCCATCACCTGACCCTTTGTCCCATTCTCATTCCCTCTGTGATGCTGTCATTGAATGTCTTTCCAACATTGGCTACTTTGTTGTCTGATTCCAGAGTCCTCTTGATAACATGGAAAACTTTCCTCCATGCCAGCATCCCCATCACTACTAGACACAGTGTTCAACTTCAGGGACACCTGACACTTTAGAGAGACACAAGAGCCACCATGCTACCTCTTCTATATCTCTTGGCATCATTCCATAGTCCCTTCTTCTCTCTTCCTCCTAAACCCATCTTCTGCCATTTCACTTTCTCCTGTGTTGTGTTAGAGGCAAAATTCAAATTATTACAATTCTTCAGACCTTAGCCAGTGTGACAATGACATCTTCCTGTACTTCTAGGTCAGGCAGTTTCTTGTCCATCTTTCTAACAATTCTATTTATTGATGTTCTTGTTTTCCAGAGCAGCTATTCTAGGACAACCAACAGTAAGACACCAGGAACTGATGTACTTCTCCCAACTCCCAACTCAAAGTTATTGTCCTGAAATCCCTCTTCCTCAGGACTGAGCACTTGCTACTGGCCAGTGCACCCAAAGATACAGGTACTGTCTTCAAAATACCCACAAGTAGGACAAGTAGCAACTACATAATCAACCATCCAGTTTCTGCCTCATCAAGTCACATATCCGATCCTACCAAACTTGCTCTCCTTCAGACCAGCTATTCCACCTATAAGAGTCCTTGGCCTGGCATGAGTTAGGTTTCTCAGCTCTCAAGCCCAGATCATTGTAACTGGAGTTTTGGACCTGCCATGGGTCCCTGTGTTGTCACTTGAGTTAAGAGGTCCCCTTGGTGATGTGAGGAGTTTTTAGGTTAGTGTGATGATTTCTAAGCACTTCTCTATGGAATACTTAAAACTTAGGATGTACAACCAGACTGCCCTTATTTGTACTGTGACCTGAGGAGGATGAACAATCTCTCACACTCACACACTGGGCCTGCTTGGTTGGCAGTTTTGTAAAAGCCTTTGAGAAAGTGCTGATCCTGAGCCTTCCGTAGAGGGCTTGGACAAACGCCATGAGAACCGTGGAAGCTGGGTTATGAAGCTAGGCATTCTTAGAGCCTCACTCTCCATGTTCATACTTGTGTAGTGCCGCCATCTCTTCAATGTGGTTGGAAGGAGCCAAAGTCTTTCTATAGAGAGTCTTCTGGGGTTCTTGCTTAGTCAGTGCCTGTCTCATCTCCCTGGTGATGAATGTCACACATATCCAAATCTACTCTGCACCCCAGGCAGGGAGATGTGTAATTACTCCATCCTCACTGGGGCACTGTGATGGGATCTTATTTTTTTGAACTTCAGATTAATATTTGAGAGCAAATTGCCCTCATGCCCTGCATTCCCTTCCCTTGTCTACCATGTACTTATTAGCACATCAACTATTTTCACCACTTCCTATGACCCTCACCTTTCATCAGAATCAACACCCATCTGATGAGCATGTAAGTGGTGGGTAGGAACTCAGGGGCCAGAGAGCAGCTCTTTCCCCAGGAAGCACACCATCCCTAGTCAAGGTTCTGGCTTCATTTCATAAGCCTGAATTCTAACAAGGGCAAAGAGCACCAGTTCACATAAGAGCAGCTGTGTGCAATGGGTTCTGTTTATTTTTCATTTATTTATTTATTTATTCAGTGTATGTTGGGAGTATAGGAGGAGGTGGGGTTGTGCATGGGGGGTGGTCTATACGTGTGTACAGATACCATAGAGTCTGTGTGGCCGTCAGAGGACAACTTGTGGGAACTGGTTCTTTCCTTCCACCAGGTGGAAGGAGTTTGAACTGGGACTTGAGTTTTGGTCATCAGCCTTGGGGACAAGTGATTTACACACTTGGTCACCTTGCTTGTCTCATGGTCCTTGTTTTAAGTGGAGTGTCCTAGAGTGTTTATATATGTGTATTATGTAATCATATTATCTACTCTGCCTCTTGTTGAGCTTAAACCTGGTGAGAACAAAGGAAATATAGCAGACCGTGATAGGCAGAAAGAAACATTCACCAGGCTGTTATCACTCATAAATTTGCCCTTACATATGTGACAAGTAATTCAGTAATTTTTAATTTCCTAGCTCTTACTGGGTCAAGAAGTAAGCTCTGTGTACACTAAGGCCAGTATGTATTTCTCCCCAAGTTCACGGGTTGTAGACTTGATCTTCAAAGCAAAACTGTTAAAAACACAAGACCTCCAAAAGGTCATGAGGGATTGGCTCTGGCGCATGGATCAATGCTGTTATCTAGGGAGTGAGTTGTTATTATGGAAGCCTGTTGCTCTAAAAGGATGAAGAATTTGCCCTCTGTTGAGCTCTCCTGCTTGGAGATTTTGCTATGGGATGATGGAGTGAGTGAACCCTATCCAATTTTGGACTTCCCACTCTC